ATGAACAGGACCTACATGATCATCAGTCCCTCTTTCCAAGTGTTCACTGCTGTGGACTTTAAAGCTTGGTTCCAAGTCAAACTGGTCCCTGTCCTTGCAAGTTTCACTCCAGAAATGCTCCGAGGTGTAACTACCGGCACGAACTGCACAAACTATCGTATCATGTGAGTTGCATTTGAAGAACAACCAAGACTTGAATTCTCAAAAAAATAAAGAGTGCTCTTAAGAAACGATGTCTGAAAGATTTGTGCCAATCTTTGCAGTGTGAGAGGAATGGGGAAAGTTGTCACTGCCATACCTCAGCAAAGACTACAGGCGACCGTTGATGTTTTACTGAAATACCTAAAAGACTCTGCTGATGTCATCAACCAAAAAGGTAGCGCCGTCTTCAATACTTGGGTCACTTTGGCATAGCTTTGTGGAGTGCAAAAAAAGCCTTAAAAGAGTTATTGAAAGAAACACAGACAGATGTATTTGAAGAAAAAAATGTTCAAATATGCATACATGTTCCTCAGTTTGCAGACAAGGAATCGAGAGTGATGCCCAATGGATTGAAGAAAACCTGGGTCCATTTAGTCAATACGCAACATATTCTGAGCTGAAGTTCTTCAACCTGTCTCAAGTAAACTCCTGACGTTTCATAATTGCTGTAATATATTGGCAAACGTATCCAGAAAAGAATTAGTTCACTTACAATCATCCCTCCAATATCTATATTAATTGCAGGTCGCTATCCTGGATTCGTTGTCTTCCGGACAAAAAGCTGAATTTCTTCTTGAACCTGACAACCTGTCCAATTCCAGTCTGGTTATTACTGTGTTGGAACGTTTTACTGCTTCAGCGTCTCTGCAAGACCTTGAGTCTTTCTTTAATGTGTTTGCTGATGGATTATCAAAGGTAAATCCAATGAATCACACGGATATAGTGAGTTTTATCTTTTTATTTAACATGTCTTGAATTGTTGTTTCATGGCCATTGCTTTTCTTTCAGCCAAACCAAACTGCAGTTAGTCCCAGTGTGCGGGACAGTATCCTAAATTTAACAATTACAGCCCTCGTTCCAAACTTCTACATGCTGAATTCTGATGGCATAGCAAAATGGTTCCAGGTTTATCTTCCTCTCTTCCTACCAAGTGCCAACTCAGCAACATTTGAAATCATCCCAAGAAACATTTCCTGCAGCTCCTATCAAAATATGTGAGTCAAACTTTAACCCAGTCCTCACAAAAGTTTATTTTGAGTCAATGCAATCAACTGGTTTTCCTTAGATAGAAAACTTTGAATCAATTTGACTGGATGATGTGGTGAACTGTAAAGTGCCTTGAGAAGACATGTGTTGTGAATTGGCATTATATATATAAACTGAATTGAAATTGAAATTTTTTAAACACTTCATTGAGTTAATATAATTTGTTGTGTTTTCAGTGTGAAAGGTTTCGACAACATAATCATCCAGCTCTCTGAGGAACAGAAGCAACAAGTTCTAAGATTTGGATTGGACTATCTAAAGGTCCAGTTGTCCTCAGGTGAACTATATTTAATGACATTGTAACTTCACATTGTCTGGTTTATATGAGAAGATGTTTTGCTTCATGTTCAGGGATATCTAAATATTTGATATCTTGATGCTTAGGATTTTCCTGTGTGAACTCTGGGGGTGACACTAACAACAGAGACTGGCTCGAGGAAAATTTCGGTCAGTTCCGTCTTCAAGCCTCTTTCCAGGATTTTCTGTCCTTAAAGAAAGACTTTAAAGGAGTAAGTACTGCATTTTAGACTCAGACTTTTTCAAACGTGTTTAAAACAAGGTGATGAGACAACCCCAAAGCCTGGCTTCTTGACCCCTACATAGATGCATGAGTCGATGGGTAGATCAAGAGCATAAATAAAGATTTTTCTCATCGATATTATAAAGGGTGGGCATTTATCATATTGTTTGTTGTTATCGTGATGTATTTCTTTTCATTGGTATATTTTCAATTTAATGTCACAACAATAATTTATGAAAAGTAATGTTTAACCCCTAAAGCCCTAATGGTCTTAAGAGCAATTTCCGCCTGAAATTGCAAATGTTGATTAAAGCAAGTACAGCTCCCAAACTATAAATTGGAAATGCAATTGTTTGTATTTATATAACAAAAAGGCATTGAAAAATATTTTTCAAGTGGAACCACTGTTTTAAATGTCACCATGTTTGATTTATAGGTGATTAAACAAAGAAAAAAATGAAAAAAATTTAGCTTCACCAAATTTTTTTCCAAATAAACACACAATCTACACCATGAAACCCAATTTAAAACTCTGGATTTACCCTCAGACTTTATAGATCTTGACTATAACTCAAACAAATTTGGAATGAATAAGTTGAAGCATGTTAGTTCCACAAAGGTTTTGGTGAGCAGTGTGCGAGGTGGAAATGTGATTTTGGCACAGTAGGGTCAAAAGTGGCCAAATTGTGCCAAATGCATTTTTCCCACTCATAAAAGGGAATCTGAACGCAAAGCCCTTTCTCCAAGGATTTACTCGTTGTTTTATTTCAATTTAGCATTTAACACACAATAATATAACCTAACTGAATAGGAAATTAGAAGAATTGTATAATTTTTGACACCAAACAGGAATATTTCATTTAGAAAGGATTAGGAATCCAAAAACTTTATAGAAATGTAAGAAGAAATTAGAATCAAAAGCTTCTGCCAAGAAAATGTGCAAAAATATTTATTCAGACAAATTATTATGCAAATAAATGTGCTAAAAATGTTTCAACTGTAAAATTGAAAGCCCCATTTTGAAACGTGTGTGGATGAATCACCATGTGACGGTGTTTTGGCGAATACTATAAATACATTAACATGAACCGGTGTCAGTTGGGCCCTGTACCGGACCCGTCCGACTAACGGGTTAGGAAATATCTAAAATCTCAATATTTTGAAATAAATAAATTTGAGTCTGTGTCTAAATCTATCTGCAGCAGAAAGAGAATAATAATTTTCAGAACTTCAGTGGCTTCTATAATGAAAGGTCTGCTGCCAAACAGCAGCAAACTGTTCGGAACTTGAATGGCTCTATGTTTCTAAACTGGTTCCTGGTTTCTTTTGTCTAGGCTGAGGTGGCTGATCTTCTCACCTTCAGTCAGCTAAAGGAACTTGCAGCAATCCCTTCACAGCTAAATGGAACACAAGATGTCACAAATATCATGAGCGTCATCCAGCCATCAGACTTTGCTGCTTTCTTTGATTCCCTCTCAACAGCGGTTAAGGTAAACAAAACCAACATCTTGGTCACTTCACAGTGATAAAACTATTTGTTTTCATGTAAATCTTGCTCTAAACGTATCACTGCTAGTTCACTCCTGAACAAATGAATCCAGGTGCTTTTCAAGAGGCTTAAACTGAAAGAATTATTAAAACAGACGAAGATATTCATATTCAGTCAATAATTGTTTTTGTTAATAATTTATACCAATAAGATAACGCCTTGAAAGCAGGAGCGGCAGGAATTTTCCCAAGGGTGGGCTATAAATTCAAAATAGACTTAAACCAAGAACCAATCAAACATATACCAAGTTATCACACCAGTATATTTATATGAAAGCCAACAACAAAAAACATTATAAAAGCACTTTATAAAAACAAAACATAATTTCATGTACAGGTTTTTACTTTTTGTACATAAATTTTGCCCTTCTGAGGCTTCCTGAAGGTAAATCTGTGTTTTCTATTGTCCAATATCATGTTACAGACCTAAAATATTTCAGCTTTATATTATTTTAATATATAAAAACTATTTTTCAAGAATGCATGTATTTATGAGCAACTCTGCAAATGAGCAAACATCTAGAACAAGTAAACTATATTCTATTATTTTCCATGTGAATCTCAGATTGTTCATTCTTCTTTGCCTTTTCTAAAAAGTGCTTTTAATCAGTCCTAGCTGTCTTTATCCATACTGGCTCAGATCCTGACATTTAATAAAGGAGTAAGGGAAAGCAGGATAAACCTGTTTAAGGGCCAGTAATGCAACTGTTTCTAAAGCCAAAAATATTAGCATGAAGATTTTTTTTTCTAGTGAGTTGAATTACGGTTATAAGCATGTTGTTTGATTCTAGTACCTTTTCTGTTTTACCCTGATCAAATTTCCCACTAGGCCCAGCCTGCCAACTACACACAGGAGGTCAAATCTGCCTTCCTCAATGTGCTTTTTGAGAGAGGTGACCTTTCATCTGTCAGTGATAAAGACTTCCTGCAATGGCTGATGCGACTGGAGCCCTTACTTGTTGATCTCTCTCCAAATTTGGTGAACCAAGTTTTTGGCTTTGCTGCAAACAGGAGTTGTACCACCAGACAAGAGATGTAAGAAAACAGTTTGCAAGAAAACAGTGATTGAATTCATGAATTTTGTTTAAATATTGTCTACTTCATTAATTCAATGTGATTTATGCAGGATAAACATGCTTGACACAATACAGATAAGCAACAGCACCAAAGCAGAAATCTACAAAAACATCCTCCTCCTCCTCCGAGGTTTGTCTATGAAAAGTCTGCACACCATATTAACAAAAAATAATTTGCTGCAAAGTTTGTTGTTTGTCTGACCCCATAAATGACGGTAAAAAACTCTATTTTCTTTACAAAACAGATCCAGAGACCCTGAAGTGTTACGATGGTGGAAGTTTTTATCTCTTCCTGAAAAACAGCTTCCTCAGCTTTGGATTTCCAGACGTTTCAACATTCATATCTCTTCTGCCACCAAATCGCAAGTCAGAGGTAAAAGAAAAAGAAAATTGTAAAATTCCTTGGAATATAGGTGCAGATCGACTTAAGCATCAAGGCACTGAAATACAACAGAGGTTTAAAAAACAAAACAAATTTTTTCTGTTCTTAGCTCTTGAATACCATAAGCCCATCGGAGCTGCATGAGTTCCTCAGTCAGCCTGATGTCATCGACAAGGATTCAGACATCTGTGTCATCTTCAGCAACTACAACAACACCGCTGCCTTCCTACAAACGGTATGTCTTTCTGGTCAGTTAGTCTGTTGATACAGTAGTAGCCATTTCCCCTGTTTCCTTGATGGGTCCTTGGCTGGTCCCCTATAATTCATTTTTTAACATCAATCTTTATACTAAAATATTCTTTCTGTCATAATTTGTGGACATTAAAGGGGTCATAGAATGAAAAACAGAGATGAATAACGAAAATTCAGTGGGTAAAATGGACGTACAGAGATGTTCAAACCCCATCAACACCTCCTTTATCTGGAAATCTCACAATTCTAAAAGTCCACCATAAAACGGGCGAATCCAAATAAAGCACAGAGTTGATGTCAATTCGGGGATGTTGCCTTATATGGTTCTGGCCTTTACTTTTTTCACGCCCCTGTGGGGGCGGGTATGAAGTGTCGGCTGCTGGGCCGCAGACTGGAACGGACCTAAGCATCATTGAGTCGCCTGTCCTCAGCCGGAGGAGGGGGGCTGGGGGGAGGGTAAGGCAGGCTGGGGGGAAGCACGGGGCCAACGGGTCGGGTTCGGTTGCTTGACCACTCGCTGGCTCCCTGCCCCCGTCCGCCAGGGTTCCCGGACCAGCCCCAGAACTGACGACTCGGTTCTGCTGCACTGTAGTCGACCAAAATCCCGGACGAATTTGAAATTCCCCCTGGACATTTTTTTTAGGTCTAAAAAGTAGGACGTGTCCGGGAAAAAGAGGACATCTGGTCATCCTATCATATCAACAATTTTATGTTTGAGTGAGTGAGTGCTTGTTGCTATGATGCGTCTTTGCTCAGCAGCTTTGCTCGTTGTAAACCAACCAATCAGAGCACAGCTCATCTAAATATTCATGATCATACCATAAAAGGAAGAAAACCTGTCGTTTCATTCTAGGGCTTTTAACCAGGCTGCATTAGGGCTCATAGAACAGCTAATATGCCATTTTCAGCCCAACCAATGTTACACACCCTATTCAGAGACCTTGAGGGCCAGAACCAGATACCCTATACAATCATTCTATAACCCCTTTAACTTCTAAAGAGAAGCGCCATCTCCTGGTCAGACCCTGTAATTCAGTGAAAAAGTGGAGTCAGAGTTAAAAAAATATGCACGCCCAGGAGAAGGCGAGCGGCTGGAAGTTACTTGCCATTCGGCTGGTGTTTGACTGGGAACGACCATTTTGAATGGCTGCTACTGTAGGAATCTGTTTGTGTTCTCTTCACTGAGTGATTAATGGCTACGACTACTGCAGGAGGACCTCCCAAATAGCGTGAGGAGGATCATCCTCCCCTGTGTGTGGCCTTTGGCTCTGAGCAGTGAAAACGGGTCTGAGGTTGATCTGTGGTTCGACGTACGGTTGAAAAACTACCTGAGCTTCCTCACCAAGGACCTTCTGAACTTCACTGTGGTGCAGAACGCCTCATGTCTCTCCTTCCAGAGACTGTAAGTCTGTTCCTTACGTGGTCAGATCCTAAACAAAGGGTCACATAAAACTAGATCTAAAATGTTTTCCTGCTCCCCAGGGTGTCTTTCATGGGAAACAACTTTACCTACAACAGTTCTGAGTTTGGACGGGAAGATGTGTACCGCACCATCAGGAGCTACCTGAGAGCTGGTGAGCCTTTGGAGTAAAAGTGTGACATGGGATAAATATATGAAGGACTCTCTTAAATTTAATTCTTATGTTTCTAATTCATCGGTGTGTATGGATTTTAGATCAATCATTCAGAAATGTAAAGATTAATGACTCATCATCACATAAGACACCAAAAGTTAAATTTTTTGTGTCGTGGCGTAAAGACAAATGAAGAAGATCGATTTAGATTACTGGAATTTACTCCAACATCAACAATCCTTGTTCTTCTACAGGATCTGGAGCCAGGTGCTACGATCCCAGAGACCCAGAGCTTAACTCCACCTCCTGGTTTTTCAACTACATCGGCAGCTTTGTGACATTCATCACGCTGGATGATCTCACCAGCTTTGTCTCCACCTCTCAGGTATTTTCTCATACAAACTGAAACCTCTTGATAAACAATCAAATCTTAAGGTTTAATTTAAATGTCTCTCCCATTTTACTTGTTTTCTTTTTAAGCTGAATGTGTTCTTGGGCGACAAGGCTAATCTGGAGCTCTTTACCGACCCAGCGATCCCACAAAATGTGACAGATTACTACATCTTGCAGCTCTTTCAGTTCAACCCATCCTTCCAACTCATGATGTAATTATCCTCTGTTTTAATCAAATACATGTGTAACAGATTTTCTTTCACTTTACTGAGATCATTGAACATGCCACCTATCTTTCAGTCTTCCTGGAATTTTGTTGTGCTCCCCGGAAATCCCAAGCTCAGCATTTGCCTCTCTAAATGAAGCAGAGACCATGGTCATCTTGGACAAGTTAAAGATATTCTGCAATGGATCAGAAAATCCTGAGGTACCAAATCAACCCCTTTTCATCCATTTTGGTCTTACTGATACAGGAAAACAGCAAATGTTATCTAGAGCAGTTTAAACCCTAGATGATTAGCAGACGACTTCTGAGTTATGCTTTTGGACACTGGTGAAATTATTTTACAATAAAAAACCCTTCCTATAGATCTGGGTTCATATAAACCGAGATGTTTTTGTAGTATTGAGCAGTGCACCAAAGGATCCTTTATTAAATAGGATACCAAAATGATCCATTATATTGATTTTAAAAGTACCAACAGTTGTAGCCATTCAAAATTTTCCCACTTTCGTTAATGGGCCCTTGGCTGGTACTGGGCTGGCCCTTGGCTCGTCCCCTACAATACCTTTTTAAACATCAATCGTTGTACTAAGATGATTTGTGGACATTAAGATCTAAAGAGATGCACCATCTCCTGGTCAGACCCTGTAATTCAGGGAAAGGGTGGAGTCAGAGTAAAAAAAAAAAGCACATCCAGGAGAAGGCCAGTGGCTGGAAGTTGGAGGGGATTTTGCTGGGAGCTGCAGGGAAGTGGGCTACCATTCGGCTGGCACTTGACTGGGAAGGGCAATTTTTATAAGCCGCTACTGTTTAGTTTCTGTAATATATGTCAATGTACGCTGGTTTGCTGCGAATCACTGATGCCTGTTATTTTCAACAGAGATCCGCAGCTCTGGCATCCAACATCCAGAACATCACAGAGCAAACCTTCCAAGATCTTGGAAGTGCCTCTTCAGGCCTGACAACAACCCAGATACTCTCAGTGTCCCCCACAGTCCTGGTGTCCTCTCTGTCCAGTCTGGGCTCAGTAGAGACGTGGGGACAGGACCAGGCCAACATCATCGTCCAGTCCATCACCTCCTCTGGCTTTCAGGTACAAGCCCCGTCTCTTTAATCACTGTTACATCCATCAGTGTCAAAATAAATCTTGGTTTTAATGAGTTGACATATGATTGACAGATAAACACCACAGCATCCCTGGTGTCCCTGGGAACTCTTATTGCTGGTGTTCCTTCAGAGTCAGTGGAGAAGATGTCGGCTTCTGAAGCCATCACTGCCTCCAAGAACCCAGCGATTGTTTCCAACATGCAGAAAGCCCCAAAGGTTGTCCAGCAGACCTTTGTCAGAAAGGTAAACATTTCTCAAAGTTAATCATGAAGCCTGTCTCAATTCATCCGCTGAGCATCAACGTGTGATTAAAAAAGAAAAGACTGCCACTTCGGCTGTAATTAAGATCATGGAAAGAGTCCTCAGAATTACTTGGTCCTCCGTTGTATATGTGCAGAAATACAGATGAGAGATACACATACAAGGGGCATTCAATAAGTAATACCCCTAAACCACTTTTAGTTGTTTGATCTAGCTGTGCAATTATTTATAACTCTATAGATTAAGTGGCCAATTATAGTTCTAAACTGATTGTGGTTTATGATTTACATCTGTTTGAACTGAGTCAAGTCTGAAATTGAGCCTTTTGAGTGTCAAGCAGTGATCCCGGATTTATATTTGAAAGGACGCACACCATGGAAGAACTTTGATAAAATCAAAGTAGCTTATGGTGATGATCAATTAATCAATCAATCAATTTCTTTACTGTCAACTAAAATTTGCATTGCAATTGTTTCAGCACAAACCGTTCATCACATTCATCACATACATCTGGTTGGGGCTGGGGTTGGCACTGGGAACTATTTACTGAGGCCATGCATGCCGCAGAACGCTGCTGTTAGATCGATCTTATTGCTGCCAAGGGCCCCGCTGTGAGCCGGTTCCCTATAATGCTGCCTTTATCTCTGTGTAAAGATAGGAGCCACATTGGGGAGGGAGAGGGGGAAAAAATGCATATTTAACACTTTATCCTTGACAGGATGCAGTTTGAGTTATATAAAAAAAAAAACTTATCACAAAAAAAGGAAGAAAAGCAGAGATTCAAATCGGAGGCTGTAGCAACATGAAAGTCAATCTGACATTTTGAGCATCAGTTGTGTTTGTATGTTAAATGAGTTCTATTTGTCAATGAACGCTGTCCACAGGACATTGTCCTTGATAAGATGGAAGTTTATCATCCGGGCACTACAGTTCTGGATGCATTCACAGATGTTTGCGGGTAAGGGGGGGCAGAGCAGGCAGGTCTGGGCCCTTTCGCCATAACATGCAGGTGAGGTTTGATAAGGGGAAGCCTAATCCGAAATAACACTTATTGTTTTGAGAGCAGGCTGCACAGGAATTTTCCGTCAGCCTTCACGTCTTTTCTTGCTGGCTCCACATGGAGAATCCAATATTCCCCATCATGTGGCCTTATAAGGCCATACAAAAAACGGATCACTGCTCGACACTCAACAGGCTGCCATTTCAGACTTGAGTCAGTTCAAACACCTGTAAATCAGAAACCACAATTAGTTGAGAGCTGTAATTTGACACTTAATCTATAGAGATATAAATGATTGCACATGCAAAATTTCAGCTGGATCAAACATCTGGACGAGGAGGAGGGGCATTACTTATTGAACGGCCCTCTTATTTGGTCAAAAAAGAAATCAATGTAGTTATAAATTCCCCCCATTGTCTTATAAGTGAATAAATCTGATGCATTGGACTCTTCATCTCATGCAGATCATTTCTGGGTTCTCCAGTCCATCTGAGGTGGTAAAGAATGTCCCTGATTCTTTGGCAACTGAGATCCCTCCCGCGATGCTGATATTCCCTGATGGGGCTGCAGACATCAGCGTGTTAAACAAGAAGACATGGACATCAGATCAGGTCAGTCCTGTGTCTTCTTCTATCGCAGAATAAATAATAACGTGAAGCAGATTTATCGAGGCTGAGGTCAGCAGTAATAAGGATGCCAAAGAATAAGCTTTTGAAGCAGATGAAATATTTACATCCTGTTTAAATGAAGATAAGTTGAAGATAGTTATGTGATGTTCAAACAGGTCCGCAAGCAAAAGTAATTGTTTTCTAGATAAAAAAGCTGTTTTTGCCAAACACTCTGAACTATTCCACATGGAGACAAAGAGATAATGTCCAAAACTTTCTCCATACTATGAGCAGCACTCAGTCTTCTCAATTTTTTAACCTTTTTACCTTGAAGCCTTAACTCTGTTCAACCAAACAGATCAATTTTGTCTAATATTTGATTGACTTTTGTCTTGTTCTTATAGTCCACCATATTCTTTCCGATCCTGGGTGACAAAGACTTTGATATTGAGCAGTAAGTGACCAAACCTCACAAACTTTTTTGAGTTTCTCGTTTGCCTGAAAATGTACCTATGATTTTAATTACTGAGCTTTTCCTATTTTTCTAAAGGCTTTCTCGATATTTCCTGCAAGGCTTCACATGTGGCACAGTTAGTAAAATGAAAAGATCTCGAGTCAGACAGTTGATTCGTGCATGTAGGCCAAGAAAAGGAAGAGATAAGGTGAAGCTGGAGGAACCACAGGTAAGTTTTATAGAAACATTTCCAAGGCACCCACTGTAAAAAGAACAAAAAAAAACTGCTATTGAATCCCAAAACTATCGATAAAACCTGAACTGTAAATACAGTCCATTCATTTTAGTCTAATATCAAATCTTTTTCCATTGGATCCTGTAGCTGACCTGCATGTACAACCTGCTGCGTGACAACATCTCCCAGAGCTTCACAGATTATCCTTCAGACATGCTTCTCTACTTAAAGTGAGTCTAGAGCTGCTTCATTACTGTTTCAATTGTATTGCTAAAACAATAATTGGATTAATTAATCATCAACTAATTTAGTAATCGATTAATCATTACTTGGAGTATAGAGACTGTTAAACATGCCTTTAGCTGACAGAGCGACCCACTTTGAGCAGGAATTATATCAAAATTGTAACAAAATATATAAACATTTTACATTTGAGATAAAAAAAAAATACAGATGTTTTTGTCATTCAATATTCTCTATCCTAGGACGGAGTATTAGGGCCAGGCTAGACATTTTTCTTTTTCTTCTATTTCGAGAATAAATTCGTAACATCACGAGAATAAAGTCATAAAATTACTAGAAACAAGTCGTATTTTATGACAACTCTTCCAAGAAGCACTTTCTTCCCTAAAATGAGGAATGTGGAGCATCATGTGAAGTTAAACTTTGGCATCGGTTTGACAATTACGGAAATGTTTTAGCAGCAGCATCAAACTGGGCAGGATGTCAAAGTGGACTCTGGTTGCTGATTGGTGGAGCTGGTCGGCCGCCATCTGCTGGGCGGAGCTCCGAGCTTTCTTTCTGAAACGGGTTGTTGAATGATGACTTTATTCTGGAAATAGAAAAAACAATAATCTCTAGCCTGGCCCTAATGCTCTGTCATACTGTCCAGAATTCCTTAAGTAGAAAACTTTTATTTTCACCTGGTTTACTTTTGTCAAAAATCTTTTTTCTACGTGATTATTAATTAAAAAAAATCAACAGATGAATCGATTCGCTTCAAATCTTTAGTTGCAGCCTTAGTCAATTGCTTAAAATAGTTAATATTTCTTCCCTTTAATATCTTACAACCAAACAGCACCAGAGATGTCCAGAAAGGAAACTGCAGGGCCTACCTTTCGGCCCTGGGTGCTGCAGACTTCACTGTGGCCTCCAGCATCTTGAACAAAGGCTCAAAGAAGTTTAGTGAAGCTGGGACCTGCTTGGTGAGTAGCAGTAAAATTAAGAATGAAGATAGAAATAACCCATATGCCAATATACATACCATAATATTCAAATTTATATTAGAAAATGTTAAACATATGCAGCTGATTAGAGCATTAAGTTACATTTTCCCTGACTAACTTCTTTCACTCCTTTAGGGAATCAGTGGGGCCGCCCTGAACAGAGACAACGTGGAGGTTCTGGGGAACATGGCCTGCAGCCTGGAAGGACCTGACATCGAGAACTCAGATCCTCTCATCCTGGAAAAACTTAAAGCCTGCAAAGACCTCTCTGACAGCCAAATGATGGCTGTGGAAGCGCAGCTGCTCAGTGGAAAATCACGATATGGGTACAAAAATGTATTCCTTCATCTAGTCTGCATGGGGGAAATAATCACTGCTGAAGTCTATGATTTAGGGTCTTTTTCTTAAGCTGTCCTGAGATAGACCAGGTCTATGTGAGGACAACCTTTTGTTTTTAATAGAGGTTACTAAGGGAAATCAGACCAGGTTCAAATATGGAACCCAGAGTACATTAAGATAGAGGGACCGATGTACGGAGACCTTATTCCTTCATCTACTCGCCTCAAATCCCTTTGCTGCATGTTTCCCCCCTCTCTCCCCACAGGCTTTCTTATCTACATCTACTACCAGATGAAGGCATTAGTGGTAAAACAAACAAAAAATAAACAAAAAGTAATAATTAAAATGCAGCTCAGAGGGAAAGGTCACTCAGTTATTCGTTTCCATTTTAACCTGTTAGAGTCCATAAAAGTGTTTATTACTCAGTACCGCATACAGCTAGAATCAAAACATTGTTTTGAACATCATATTTCTTCTGTTTGAGGAAAATATTACCTGTTGGAGTGATCCAGCCAGAGAGCCGATTTAAATGCAGTTCAATTCAATTCAGTTTATTTCTATGGCGCCAATTCACATCATGTCATCTCAAGGCACTTTACAGTTCAAC